AGAGACAGCAGTCATGTGTAAGACATGAAAAAAATAATTTATAAATTATCAAGGGTTCATGAGGGTGGGGGCAAATGATCTGATACCAAGGGCTCAAGTATAAAGAAAATGTTCCGAAAATGATGGTAACATATCTACAAATGTGCCTGACACAATGAATGTATGGAGGGATTGTGATAAGAGCTGGAAGGTCCCCCCAATAAAATGATTTTAAAAAATATATGTCAGGGAATATTTGGGGTTTAAGGCTGAAAGATTTTCTCAGGGTTCCACACTTAAACAATCCTTTAGTGAAAAATATCTGATTTGAGCAGTGTGTTTTTAAAAGAACTAGATGGGATTAAATTTAGGTTACAACCGAAATAAGACCAAAGGACCCAGTGAGTCCATGTAACTAGAGAAGAACCCGAAGGAGGGTGAAATGGTTGTAGAAGTGGAAGAAGGTGACCACAATGACTGGCCGCTGCATGCGGGAACTGTGGAATTGGTATGTGTTTGGATGTGCGTATATATTCTCAACAAAATAAGTACAGTGATCCTCTAGGATGCACTGAAGGCACTGATGAAACACAAGGATCCAGGAATAGACGGAATGCCAATCGACCTGTTGACATGTCATGGATGCGATGCTGGAAGCACCCGCTCATCTCTGCCAAGAAATTTAGAAGACAGCATCTGACTGGGCAAGATCTATGTGCCCATCACAACAAAGGTGATCCACCAGAATGCGGACATTATTAAATAATGCAAATGCAAGTACAATTCAGCGGAAGATCATTAAGTTGTTGCAAGAGTACATCAACAACAGGGAACAGCCAGAAATTCCACCCCAATTCAGAAGAGTACATGGAATGAAGGCCATGATTGATGACATCAGATGGCTCTGGGCTGCCAGCAGAGAATACCAGAAAGATGCGTTTTATTGATTAAGAAAAGGCATTCACTTGTGTGTGTCGTAGCAAATTATGATACACTTGGAAGACTAGAAGTTACACAACACGTAACAGTGCTCATGTGGAGCCTGTGCACAGACCAAGAGGCAGTCTTTCAAAGAGAACAAGCAAAGACTGCGTGGTTTAGAGACAGAAAAGCCATGGGTCAGGCTGGTATCCTTCCACCATCTTGTTTCAAGCTGCACGATGAACAAATGACCCTAGAAGTGGGACTATGGAAGAAGGAGGCCGCAGGATGCAGATGATATGCGTTTGCTTGCTGAAACTGAAGCAGACTTGAAACAGTGATGCAGATCCAACAATACAGGCTTCAGTATCCATGAGGCCGCGATGTAGAGAAAGCAGAATCCTCACAGCTGAACCTATAAGCGCAAGGATTTCCTTTTCCTTGGGATCACCACCAGCTCCATAGAAAACAAACTTTCTGCCATGAAATCAACTACAGGGCCCAGTAGATGCTCCTTAGGGATTCTGAGATGATGAATCTGTACAGGAGCCCACAGCCTCCTCTTTCTCTTTTAGAGTGGCCGGTGGGTGTTGGACTTAAGGGGTAAAAGCAGGCCAACGCTCTTAACCCATTATTCCACCAAGCCTCCTCCTATGAAAGCAGCAGTCAAGAGAGCAAATAATCTATTGCACTGGGCAAATCATCTGCAAGAGACCTCTTTAAGGTATTAAAAGGTACAGGTGTCACTTTGAGAACCCAAGCATGGTGTTTCCAGCTACCTCCGTTGCATGGGGAAGCTGGCCAAAGAAGAAGTCAGAAGAACTGGTGCCTTGGCTTATGATGTAGCTGAGCAAAGCTGAATGTGCTATGGGTGGCCAGAACAAGCCAACCTGTCTTGGAAGACGTGTAGGCAGAAGTCTCCTCTAGGAGAATGGTGACTTGGTCTGAAATATGGTGCACATGTTATCAGGAAGGACCCCTTCTTAGAAAAGGCCATCATGCTAGGTAGACCAAGAGGGTCAGTAAAAAAAGAAGACCCACGGAGGGATGGATTGACACAGTGGGTGGTGACGACGACGGTGAGGCCCTACAGGACTGGGCACTGTCCTCCTGGTGTACGCGGGTCCCTGTGAGCTGGACCTGACTTCATGGGACCTAACAAGTCATACCCAAACTGGACCCAAGTACTTTCAGTTCCAGAAAATGCTGTGACTCTTGCCAGATGTCCTCTACCCCAGAACATCCTTCCCCTTCAGATCACCACCTATGGGAAGTTCTTCAGACCCATCACCCCCTAGATAGGAGCCTGTAGGCTGTGCTCCTATTAAAAAAGCAGCAGCAATGAACCCACTGCCACTGAGTCAGTTCTGACCAATAGAGCTGTAGACCAGGGTAGAACTGCCCCACAGGGTTTTCAGAGGTGCCAATGTTGATGAAAGTGCACTGCCACGTCTTCGCCCTGCAGAACAGCTGGTGGGTTTCAGCCACCCACGTTTGGGTCAGCAGCCCGGTGTTGAGTTCTTGAATCACTGAGCAGGAAGGTCCTTGCGCTCCTCTGTAGTGCTGACCATGCAGCATTAATCATTAATCGTTGATTTGCATGGGTGGCTCTTATAAATAACAAACAAAATCAAACCCAATGCCATGGAGTTGATTCCAGCTCAAAGCAACACCAAGTAAGATCCCAAGATAGTCTCATCTCCCCCCTCCCCCTCCTCCTCCCCTAGGGAGTGGCTGGTGGATTTGTACCATGTGGTCAGCAGCTCAGTGCTTCAGCACAGCACCATTGGTGCTTCTTTGCCCAGCTATTTTTTAAAATCATTTTATTGGGGGTTCGTACAACTCTGATCGCAATCCATCCATCCATCCATCCATTGGGTCAAGTACATTTGTACGTTTGTTGCCCTCATCATTCTCCAAACCTTTGCTTTCTGCTTGAATTTGCCCAGCTGTTCTATAAAAGTGAAATTCTAGCGGTGGGCACAGCTACCGCATCTGATTAAATGGTCCGCTTTCCGCCAGCACAGAGACCTGCACCTGCCACAGCCCAACTTAGAAAACGCTTCATAAATCACTGCGTGAACGAAGGCTTACTGCGACACGGTAGCTTTTAGAGAACGCTTGGACCTCAGGGACAGCCCACAAGCCTACGTTCTTGTGGGGCAACGGGTCTGAAGAAGAGGTGGTGATGTCTTTGGGAAAAGATGCTCTGGGGTAGCGGGAATCTGGCCAGGGTAGGGAACTCACAGTCCTCCGCTGGCTCCGCGCGCCCGCAGGTCGGGCGCTGAGCGTCGATTCCCCCGCCGGCCTCTGGGGGCGCTGCGCAGCCGCCGCCCGCGCCCCGCCGCGCGCGTCCGTCCGTCTTGGCGGCAGGAAGCCGGGGCGTGGGGCGGGGCCAGGCGGAACCTGGACCGGCCCGGGAGGAAGAGGGGCGTCTGTGCGGAGCTGCTGCCCGTCGCCTGGTCCCGGTGCACCTCCGGGGGCCTGGCTGGGGTGCTGCAAGGGCCCGGGGAGGTGGAGCTGGAGGCCGGCCTCATTCCGAGCTGGAAATTGGCCCCCGTCTCCGAAAGGCTGCTGATTCCCTCGGGAGTCAACCCTGGTGGTGGAATCATCCGGCAGACTCCTTTGGCAGAGCTCTTAGGGTATCCCTTAATCGGGGTGGGAGTGGGGTGCTCTCCCTAGGGGGCTGATGCTGGGGCCAGGCTATGTCAGGAGCTTTCTCTGGAGAGGTGTATCTCCCCCGTGGGGAGCCTTTGGCGGACGTCTGCAGGTCCGTGCCCACGGCCTCTTCTGGAAGGAATTTCTGTGTCTGGCCGCCTCGCGGGGAGCCACCCGCCCGAGGACTTTTATATTATCCTACTAGAGCAAAGGGCTTTGGGAAGCCCTTTTTCCGGATTCCGTCGCTCCTTTTCCTTCACTTTCTTGATAGCTATGTGTTCTTCATCATATCCGTGAACCTGACTGGGATGTAGAGGAAGTTCATTGTTCTTAAGTGAAACGTCCAGGAAAGCTGAAGATCCTCCGATTTGTTCAGTCTCCCCAGGGAACTGGTGGATTAAGGCAGCTCCACAAAAGTGGGATTCCTGTTGATTTCACCATCAGCTTGTGGTTAAAAGGCGGAAAGTGAGCTAGAGAAGAGGGCCGTCATTAACTAGCCCTCCCCACATGCAACACAGGAAGGCACTGGTTCAACCAGTGACTGCTCCCCTTTGTAATACAACATTTATTGAGCACCTGCTCTAGACCAAGGCCTGAGAATAGCAGAGATGACAAAAATGCAGCTCACTGGCTAAGTCAACCAGTTCCGAATAACCGATTTGAGGATTTAAGGAGAGTGCAGAAGCCCGGAATCTGTGCATTTGACGCAGAATTAGGACTCTCAGTGATGAGCAGTCTGCCCTCTTTTTGACTCTCTTTCCTCACCTCTCGACCTTCCTGTGCTTCTGTTTCCCAAGGCGAAAGGCTAGCTATGGGGAAGAGCTGCAAGGTGGTTGTCTGTGGCCAGGCATCAGTGGGCAAGACTTCAATCCTGGAGCAGCTTCTCTATGGGAACCACGTGGTCGGTGAGTGCCGGTGGGCATAGAAGCCATGGAAGGAAAAGGAGTAGGATTTGATGGACAAGCCCACCCCCACCCCCACACACACACCTGCAAAGGCGGGAAGCTGCTCCTGGTGTCTTTGCATCTTGAATTGCTAACTGCAATCCCCAACCCTACAGCAGTGAAGGGAGGGGGCAGCCTCACCACTAACCCAGAGGGTGGAGGCTGAGCCAAGCCAGAGGAGGAAAGCCCCCCCCCCCCCACCTCTCAATTAGCACGAGATTGACATTCTTTCCTGAAATCACTCCAGCCCCACCGGACTCTGTCTCTGGCCTCCTGCCTGCTGCCCCCTGGCCTCCATGCCCACACCCACCCCTCTATTCCCCCCCACCCCCATCAACTTGTGGGAATGGACCCAGTCACTCCCTGCCCCCTCCTCCTCATTTTACCCCCAGGTTCTGAGATGATTGAGACCCAGGAGGACATCTACGTGGGCTCCATTGAAACGGACCGAGGCGTAAGGGAGCAGGTGCGGTTCTATGACACCCGGGGGCTCCGAGACGGGGCCGAGCTGCCCCGGCACTGCTTCTCCTGTACAGATGGCTATGTCCTGGTCTACAGCACGGACAGCCGCGAGTCCTTTCAGCGTGTGGAGCTGCTCAAGAAAGAGATCGACAAAGCCAAGGACAAGAAGGAGGTGTGTGGCCCAGGCACTGCCATCGGGAGCATGGGCTCTGTCCTGGCTCTGGGATGCCTGACTCCATTCCCTCACTCATTTGCCTGGAGGACGGATAGGAGAGAGCAGCAGTGGACAGCGCCCATGGTGGGGGGCAGAGATGGTCTTCACTCCTTCACTGGCTACATCGTGGGGCAGCTTGGCCAAAGAGGTATCCCCTCCGCTTAAGAGGCCCCTAACCTAAGACACGAGGCTCCAAAAGTCTCCTTTCAAAAGAGTGTCATGCTCTTACCTGTGATGGTTGGTTCTTTTGTTCTACAAAATCCCCCTTTAAGCTGCAGACATTCTGGGAGTGCTTACAGCAGTTTAGTGAGCAACTAAGCACCTGCGAATAGTGAGCAGGCCTGGGTGATACAGGGCTTGAAGTGGGAATTCCTGGAGGGAGTCTCGGGGGCCAGAATTTGAAAAAGAGTAGGGGGGCAAAAAATAACCATTTCCCTTCTGGTGGCGGACCCCTGGCTTTGAGTCCGGGTGGAATCAGGTACCTGCCTTTGAAACTTTCCTTCTAGAACCCCAAGGGGCTAAGCAGCCTCACCCCTCATTCCTGAGGTCTTTGCTGTATAGTATGTAGCCACAGGCCTGAATGACCCTTCTCCCCTAGGTCACCATCGTGGTTCTGGGCAACAAGTGTGACCTGCAGGAGCAGCGGCGGGTGGATCCGGACGTGGCTCAGCACTGGGCCAAGTCAGAGAAGGTGAAGCTGTGGGAGGTATCAGTGGCCGACCGCCGCTCCCTCCTGGAACCCTTTGTCTACCTGGCCAGCAGGATGACCCAGCCCCAGAGCAAGTCCGCCTTCCCCCTCAGCCGCAAGAACAAGGGCAGTGGCTCCCTGGATGGCTGAAGAGCTGCCACCTTGTCACCACCCTCCCGGTCCCCCTACCCTGCTCTGGAGGTTCTGGAGGGTAGATAGTGGAGGAGGCAAGGGCTTCTTCCCAGAGTCAGTGGGCAGCTCCCCACTGGACCAGGGTCTCAGGGGAAGTGAAAGTAATGTAGATTAAAGACACACACACACACACATACACACACACTTCCCAGCCAACGCGCATGTTCATATCTGGCCCACTGACCCGGGGCAGCTGTAGGTCAGTACCCCTCTTCCCTCTCTCAGACAGAAGCAAAGCAACTCTTCAGAAGTGCTCGGCCCGGGCTGTTTCCTATTAAGGGTCCCCAGCTCCCTGACTTCCAGTCAGCAACACACAGTGTCACAGCCCCATCCTAGACTTTAGGAAAATGTCTGGGCTTTATGAGTGTGCACGTGTGCCCGTGTACATGGGCGTTAGGGAGCGCCACTTCATCGGCCACCCTGACCCTTGTCCTGGCCTCCAGGGAAATGTTTTAACCCCTCCCCGATGTGGTTTCTCGTTCTCTTCCTGCTCAGGAAGCAGAAGGGCCCCTTGGGCTGAGGTGGGCCCCAATGATGACTGTGCTGGCGTCTCCGACTGGCTTGGGGACCTAGCAAGGCCCCTCCCCGTTCTGGGCGTCATCTTCTCATCTGTCAGGTGATGGGAATGGACTCGACCTCTCAGATCTTTCCCAGCTCTTTGATTTTGATACTGCCCTTGGCTTGGGGCCATCTGTGACTGACTACCCCTTGATTCTCCTCTAAGGTGCTATGCCTGCCAGCCAGCGAGGCTGGGACACGCCTCTCCCTCCAGCCACCAGGGGGCAGGAGTGCACTGTCTGCTCTCGGTTCCCACTGCCCCACAAGCCTGCCCGCAGGGGCTGACCCTTAACCCCTTCTTCCTGTGGTGGTTTTAAGCTACTGACTGGACATCTAGTTATCACTTTCTTGTATTTATATGCCTGCTGCCAGGGTGAAGGGTGAGCAAGGTGCTCCTCTGGCCCTCCCTTCTTACCTCAGACGCCTGAACAGAACCAGGCCAACCACCTGCAGCTCCTCTGGGAGCTGACTGGCCGCCTGCCAGGGCTCTCAGGGCGTGTGAGCTTATAGCCTCCAGCTTCCTGTGCCTCAGTCCTAACTGCCAGTGTGCACCCCCAGCAGAGGTGTGACATGAGAGCTGGGCAGGGACCAGTGACTTTGGGCCTGACAAGTAGAGGCGGGACACATGGAGGCTCCGGCTTACGGTTCATTTATTGCTGGATTGGACACAATAAAACCACAACTGCTTGTTATCAAAAAGTCTCCCTCCCCTCCCCTGTGATTTCCCTATTAGGAGAGCTTTCAAAAAAGAAAAAGAGGTGGGTGCTGGCAGAGTCCCCTGTCGGGTGAGGAGGTCACTGACAGCTTGCAGATGGATCTTGAGAGACTAGAACTGCGTCCCAACACTCAGCTTCCCAGTGCAGGGCTGGGGGGCTGAGTGTAGTGCCAGGACCAGCTGGGGGTGAGGAGCTGCAGGGCAGAGCAGCGCTTCATCCGGGAACCCTGGTGGTGGTGAGCTGCGCTGCTAATGACAGGGTCAGCAGTTGAAACCCACCAGCCACTCCTTGGGCGGAAGATGGGAGGCTGTCAACTCCAGCAGAGATTTCAAGTCTCAGAAACTCGGGGGAGCAGTGCTAGCCTGTCCTGTAGGGTCTCTGAGTCCAAATTAACTCCATGGCAAGTGGGGTTTTTTTTGGAGGGGTGTCCGTGTTTCCTGGGTCCCACCCCCTACACTTCCCATAAAAACTGGGGTTCAGGGGAATCAGTGAAAAGGTAGGGAGAGCTTTTGTGGGTTCGAACACTTCCTCTATTAAAACTGGGCCCAGCCAGAACATCACCCTTTCCCCTCCTGTCCCAACCCTTCCCTAAACAGCCCTGGCCCCCTGCCCCCTTAGCAATGCTTGGCCAGAGGCTCCCAAGTCAGGTGGATCCCCACCCCCTTGACACACAGCCTGTTACCAGTCCCCTTATTCAGATACCCTTGAACTCCCTCCAGCTTGAGACCCCATCCCACATCTCCAGTAATTTTCCAGCGAGAGGGGAGGTCCCAGCCCACCCCAGCTAGGGCAGAAGCACACGGGTTAAGGGTTTCACTGAGCACCAAGGAGCGGAGGCTGGAATTTGCATAGATCTCTGGGATTTATCAGTCAGCTTCCCTGCTGGACTTGCAGGGGACTTGGTGGAGGGGGTGCAGCGGAGATCCTGGAATGGGTCCCCAGTTCAGACAGGAAGTGAGGGGTTGCTGCCCTTCCGATTAACCCAGCCCTGTCTGGGTGGGCAGAATCCCCCCTTGGCTGTGAATGTAGAAAATTAAAGCGGCGGGGGGGGGCGGAAAGAGGAAGAGGCAGGGACACAGCTTCTGAAAAGTCAGCCCCGACCTCTTCAGGAGGTGCTAATAGGGGGCAAAGACGATAGGTCCCGTGGCGGGGCGGAGGGCTCCCGCTGGGCTGCGAAAGAGAGCGGGGCCCAGGATCGGAGCGGGGAAGAGGGTGGGGGCCGGCCGAAGGGCCAGCGGGCCCGGCAGGGCGCAGATGGCCGCGGTGGTGGGGAGCGGGCCGGGCAGGAAGCGGGCTGCCAGCGTCTTGGTGAGCTGCTTCTGTAAGGCCAGTTTCGACTACAAAGGCGGGAGAGAGGCACGGTCCCTGACCCCAGAGGCCCCGCCCCTCCCGGAGTGCAGCCCCGGGAGAGAAGCGCCCTTTCCCCTTGCAAACCTAAGTCCGCCCTCCCACCCCCATTCCAAAGGGCTTTCTCCTCCACCTGTCTTCCTGCCCGGAGGGAGGGGTAGACGCGGGCTCCCGGAGATGTCCGCCCACCCCTCCTGCTGCCCGGCCCACCTCCCCGGAAATTCCTGTGGGCAGATCGCGAAGGAGCCAGCTCCAGCCCGCCCCTGGCCCTCCCCCCTGTGGGCCGGTGGGGCGCGGGGGGTGGGGGGGTGGCAGAGACAGATACCTTGAGGATACTCACAGCCAGCGCCGCGTGCTTCTGCAGCTTGCCCTGCTGGCTGGAGGGCTTGGGGGGCTTCCCGGCCAGGCGGTCTCGGTGCCTCCTGCTGCTCAGGTGCTGACAGACCGACCAGACAACACAGGCGGACTGGGAAGATGTGGCTGCCAAGGACCCCCAGCCTAGCCTACCATTCCTTCCTCTGCCCGTAATTCACACACCCAACACACTTTCGGTGGGGCGGGGGGAACCCTGGAAAGCATTCTCGGCCTGGGCCCTTCAGGACCTGTCTGCTCTGCTCGCCCCGCCCCTTCCCCGTTCGCCCCGCCCCTTCTCACCTGCTTGAGCTGGGTCTCCGAGTTGACCTGCAGCTGGCAGAGAGCACAGTGGAAACGGGGGCTGGGGCCCTGCCGCGCCCCCCGGACCGCTGTCACACGCTTGGCTTTGTGGCCAGCCCCTCCTTCTCGGGGCCCCGGGCGGGCCCGGCCCTTTCGGGGAGCCCCTCGCTGCCCTTCCACCATCCACCGGTGCTTAGCCCCTGTGGGGAGAGAAGGGAAGCTGTCAGCGCCCTTGCGGGAAGGGCGGGGGTGTGGTGTGGGGGGAGGGCCAAGGAGAGGGAAGGGGTTTCTCCCCAGCTCCTCTCTCTGTCATGCAACTTCCCAGGAAGGCCTTCCCCAGAATCCAGGCCAACCTCTCTTTCCTCCACCCCATTCCTCTTTGCTTCCCGCCCAAGGGGATCTGGAGGCACAGGACTCCTGCCCCCCTGAGGATTGGGGCCTTCGGTTCTTGCTGCTGCTCCCCCACCCCTTCTCTTCCCAGTTCTCCTCCCCAGGGATTACTGGCCCACCCACAAACAGCTGAGCAAAACACCCAGGCACTCAGCTGCCCACCCACCCCTGGTAGGGGCCAGCTTCCCTGCCCCCGCCCCACCCACCCCCATCCGCCCAGCTCCAGCTGCTGGCTGTCACATGCACCTGTGTTGTGAGCCTGCAGCTGGGAGGCGGAGTTCACAGTCACCTTACACGTGGGGCAATAGAGATTCCCCTTCTCAGTCCTGCCCTCCCTGCTCATGCTGCTCCCCACCGCAGCGGTGGCTGGCTCCGGCCCAGGTGCTTCCGGCCCAGGCTCTGGGGAGGAGGGTGGGCAGGAGGAAGAAGAGGAAGAGGAAGCAGTGTCCAAGAGGTCCGAGTGGGCCGGCTCCCTGAGCGTGGGGTCTGGAGTCAGTGGTGGCTGGTGTGAGGGATCCGGAGGAGGGGCTGCTGGGAGAGGGGAGACACTGTGTCAGAGCACAGGACCCCGAACCAGCGTTTCACCACCGACAACGGGGATGGCGTGGTCAGCAAAGGCTCCCTGGTGTTGGAATGGCCTGTGCGGAATGCCACATCCACCAACTCACGGGGCAGATGTAGGCCTCAGTTTCCCCAACTGAAATCCTAACCATGAACAGGTGGTCTCCTAAAGCCCCAGGAGCTCCGACATTCCACAATGACTTACAAATGGCTAAATACATGGAAATGACCCCAAAGATGTGTACCAGACTAGACTGTTCACAGCACAGCCCAGTCCCTACCCACATGCGGTAATAGGAGCTATGGACCATCTGTTGACAGCAGAGGAAACCCGGTGACGTCATGGCTGCAAACTGCAGAGTCGACCATTAGAAACCACCAGATATTCCAAGGGAGAGAAACAAGGCTTTCTACTCCCACAAAGTGGGAGTCTTGGAAACCCACAAGGGGTAGTTCTACCCTGCCCTCCAGGGCAGCTATGAGTTGGCACGGAGCGATGGCAGTGAGTATCAACAGGAGACTAGGCAGGCATCGTGGTGTGCTCATGCAATGGAATAGGAGCAATGAAAACACCCTGGACGCATGCAGCAGCACGGAGGAACCTTGGTGCATGCAAGAGACTGACACCAAACTCCACGTACAGTGTGATACACCAAGAGCAGAGGAGATGGATCTTTGCTCAGAAAAGTCAGAGTGTGGTTACCCTGGGAGAAGGGGGTGCTGGGAAGGACACCCAAGTGGGGTTCTGGGCTGCTGGCTGGTTCCAGGCTATTTCTTGATCTGAGTATGTTCTGCCTGGGCCCTTTCCCATTGGTAGACATGGGTGGAATACAGCCCAAGCGAGATCCGGGGGCCGAATTCTCAACCCCTCATTGGAAACCAGATGTGGAGATGAAGAGGGTGGAGAAGAGTCCAGAACTGACCTGTGCTCTGCGGCTCTCCAGGGGCTCCACTGGCTGGAGTCGGGGTCGGGGACACCACCGCCCCATCTTGGGTCAGGGCTTGTGGCTTCTGCTTGCTCTTGACGGCCTCCACAGCCTTGACTTTTCTGGCGTGTTTGTGGCCTTTATAATGTGCTTCAGCCTGGTTCTGGGGCCGGGAGGGGAGGACATGGTGTCACCATTCTCTCCCTGAATCCACCTGCCTCATCCATGTGCCAGCTCTGGCCATAGGCCAGGAGGGAGGGAGGCGGGGTTCAGAGCACCCAGGAGGGGGAGTGAGGGAGGAGGTAGTCTGGGATGACCAGGGTCCTGGCCGCAGCATGCTCAGAGAGAGAGAGAGAGAGAGGCCTTCGCATCCTTGGCTTCACAGTTTCACTTGGCCACTTAGCAGCTGTGCACCTTTGGACAGGTCAGCTCCCCTCTCTGAGCTTCAGTTTCCTTACCTGGACACTCGGTGATGACAAGACCTGCCACACAGACTTGGGGGCCTTCACTAGGGACAGGAAGGACAAGTGCCCAGGATATGACCGTCGGTGCTCAATCAGTGTGAATGGCCAGGCCTTAAAGGCACACATACGGAGAAAACCGTGGTCTTTATACTCTGGGCTGCCAGGACCCCAAAATGCATCCCTCCACTCATGTTCCCAACAGATAGCATTTGCTGTTTGCCAGGGACCCAGCAGGACACAGTGCCTCCCTCTGAGCCCTCTCGCTCTGTCCCTCTAGCTCCTGTGACCTAACAGCCTGGCAGGGACCCCCCACATCTGGCCTGTCATGCCCTTCCTCCATCCACCAAGAAAGGTCCCTGCTGGCTGCTTCCCAGCCTACCTCCATCACCCATAGAGCAGACCCCGCCCTGCAGACCCTTCCTCGGGTCCTTTTGACACAGCAGGCCTGTGGAGAGTCTCCCCAAGCCCCCAGAGTTGACTGCAAAAGGAAACCTTCCCCTGGAGGCTGGCTTGGGCTACTCCAGCGCCTGGCCATGGCAGGAGACCTTGGGTCTGGGCTCAAGCCCCGGCTCTGCTTCTCACCAGCCAGAAGCAAGTCACTGAAGCTTGCTCTGGCTCCGCTTCCATCACTGATACCACCCCCATCCGGCTCACAGGTGGGCGGTGGGACGAATCAAGTGAAGGGACCCACATACAGTCTAAGCATGCAAAGGTGCTCGGAGAACTCTCTGGCATGAGTTGTCTCATGAGGCGAAGTCTGAGAGCAGAAGCCAGAGTGGGGGACGTGGTCTCCTCTTCTGCAGAGGGAACCAGAACACGGAGAGGCATGGATAAGGAAGTGGGGGCCCAGGGGAGCAGAGCAGGGCAGCAAGGGCTTGAGGAATGAGATAAAGGGGACAGAGAAGGACAAAGGGATGGACTGGTTCAAGGGCCAGGAGCACCTTCCTAGCGACCACTTCCCCTTACCCCCTTCCTCCCCACAAGACCCTGGGAACCCAATCCCTCGCACTTTTCCGGCTCAGGACCCTGCCCAGACCTGCTTCCACCAGTCCCTCTCACCGCTGAGTTGAACCTCAGGTGACAGATGTTACAGGAAATGAAGAGCTTCTTCTTCAGAGGGGAGGGGACCCCAAACGTGTGGCTGATGACAGCTTTCTGGACCGGGTCCATCTGTGAAGGGGGTGGGGGGGGTGCAAAATAACTCTGCAGTCTAGTGGGGCAAAGATGGGCCAAACTAAAGATGACGGAGGCAGCACTGTGGTCAGACTCCAGGAAGAACTGTCTTCTCCTGGTGAGTGGGAGAGAGACACAGAAAAAGACGCAGCTTCTCCTCTGGGTGGCCGAAGCTCATTATCTCAGGCTGGATTTCTGCTTGGAGGCAGAGGGATGGCCAGGGTGACCTCCAGGATCTAGTGGGCCTGGTGGTCACCTGGGCATCTCTCACTGCCCCTCGGGTGTTTTCTCCCTCCACCCTCCGCCATAAGAATCACAACTGTTGGAACATAGAATTGAGGGAGACAAAGAACCTCCTCTTTGTTGGCGTTCCCTTTCTGACACGCAGCGGGGGGGAAAAATCCCATCTAGGCCATGGTCAGGAAGCCAGGGCCAGTGATTTCTACAGACTTCCCTGGGGAGAGAGGGCCTTGGCCAAGGTTTCCTGGATTGGGGGCTCATTCCTTTGGAATGTTAATATGTGGGGCTCTTTGCTTTTCTTCGCTGTGATTTTTATCTAGCAACTGGAACCCCTTTCTCAGGGACCTGGGTTGTTGGGTCACCAGCAGAAAACATCTAAGCTTATCAAGAGGAACCTGCCAAAGGGAACAGTCAGAGAGGAGCGTGGTTCTGGTAGCTTCTCTGGGCAGAGAGAAAGGCGCTAACCCTCATAGCACTTGGGCTAGGGGTGAGGGAGGGGTGAGAATGGGGGCCAGTCCCAGCATTTCAGGACCACTGTCCTTGAGGGACCATACCCTGGAACGATGGCCTTCCCCAAATGTCCTAGGTCAGGCAAGAGCCTCAGGACCCCAGTACAACCCTGAGTGGTGGGGAAGGAGGGACTCCTAAGGGCGACTAGTGCAGACGTTCTGGCAACTCGTCAGGCCAGTGTCGGGTCCCTTGATGATTCAATTCGATTTTGTTTAATTAAAACAAAAGAGGGGAGAGGATATTCCCCATACCCCATACTCACTGCCCTTGCCATTCACACCCACACGCACAGGGAAACGCACAGGCTGGTATCCAGACACGCACAGGCAGTTACAAACCACAGACACAGAGAGAACAAGACACACACTCCTGTCATACAAGGGTGGCACACCAGCACAGGGACACTCACAATCCCACCCCACACTCCCCCCAAAACGAAGAAATACAAATCCCACTCACTGCTATCTCACCATCAATTCTGACTCATAATGACTCTGTAAGACAGAGTTGAACTGCCCCATGGGTTTCCGAGATGTTTAAATCTTGACGGGAGCAGACAGCCTCATCTTTCTCCTGAAGAGTGACTGGTGGGTCTGAACCACTGACCTTGTGGTTAGCAGCCCAATGTGTAACTCACTATACCAGCATTGCTCCTTCTGGTCCCTTCCCAAGCCACACAAAAGCACACTGAGGTCAGACAGACACCAAACCTGAACACAGCACACCCACACAAGGCCACAAAGCCCCGAGATACACAGGCATACAAGAATTGTGTATGTACACACACACACACACAAATAACAAAGACCTGCCCAGACACAAATTAAGACTGCAAAGCACACCCAAACTGTACACAGACACACAGCGGTCACCTGCCACAAACACTCAGTGAAACTAGAGGCGACTGGCCACACAGGGCCAGCAGCTGTGGCCGCAGGAGTGCCATCTCTGTTCCCTAGCCTAGGGAAGAGAGAGGGGCCAGAGACATCTTTGGTCCCTAGCCTAGGGAAGAGGGGGTCCCTGTTTGGGGAGCACCTAAGCCCTTGGGGGATGCTGGGGAACGGGCTCCTAGGGAGGCCAGCTGCCTGGAGCCAGCTCCTCTGAGCCCACTTGCCCAGCCCACCCCCGTTTGGCTGCAGCCCCCCCCCAGGCACAGAGCCCATACCGTGCTGAAGTTGGGGAAGAGACTGAGCGGGGTGGCGCCATTGAAGTGGAAGGCGAGCAAGTGCTTGAAGTCCAGCGGGGGCTGCAGAGGCCGGGCAGGCAGGGGCAGGGAGGCCAGCAGGGGGCTGAGGGCGCTGGAGGCGGGGCCTGCAGCAGGAGGAAGAAGGGCAAGGTCTGAAGTGGGGAGCCACCTGGCCCTCCAGCCACCTTGGCCAGCAGGAGGCCTATGAGCTGCCTGGAAGGGGAGCCAGGGGAGAAAGGCTCATCTCCTCCTCAGGAAGGTGCCCAAATGAGCCCAGGGCTCCATGCCCCTTCCCCACACCGGAGCAGCTCAGGTGGCCTAGGGGTTATGCATTGGGCTGCTAATCACAAGGTCAGCAGTTTGAAACCACCAGCTGCTCTGAATGAGAAAGATGGGGCTGTCTGCTCCCAGAAAGAGGCTCACAGGGACAGTTCTACCCTGTCCTCTATGGTCACGATAAGTCGGCACTGACTCAATGGCAATGGGTTGAGTTTTGGGGTTTTTTTCCTCCCCATCGGTGGGCAGCAGAAAATGAGCCTCCCAGGGGGAGCCCAGCCACAGGACAGGGCGGGGCCCCGACACACACACACCACCATGCAGAATGCAAGATGTGCTGGGGTTCCACTTTATTGTAAATGAAACCAAGCCCGGGGTGCTGGGGACAGGCCAGGGCACCCCCTGTCACCCTCTGTTCCTCTCTTCCTCCCCACTCCATTCACAGCCGGGCTGACAGGAGCCAGTTGGCAAGACTGTGGGGGTCCTGAAGAAGCGTGTCCCCCCAGCTCTGGTTTGGCCCCACTGTTTTCCCCCAGGAGGCAAAACCCGTCCAAAGGCCCAGCGTCAGTCCTCAGGGGCAACAGGACAGCGCTGTGGTCCGGGCGTCTTTGGTCTGAAAGGCAAGGGCAAGGGAGGGCTAGGAACCCTGAAGACAACTAGACTTAGGAAGGAAAAAAAATTTTTTTTAGAAGGAAATTCAGTCTATTTCGGATTTCCTTAGATCCTCTCATTTCCAAACCTAGAAAAGTCCTTTTGGGTTTATAGGTGTTAACACTATGAAAGGTACGAGATTTATTTCGCATTTATATCTTGATATCTATATACACAGTCAAGTCCAGGAAAGCCCTCAGGTGGCCTACTGGGGCAGGAGTGGGGCAAACCCCCCCCCCCTCCAGCTGTGCCCTGATGCACAAAGGGGGTGCTGTGCTGTGTCCGCAATGTCGGAGGTGCCCGTTCCCCAGCCACATCTGCAGAGATACTGCTGGGAGCAGACCCTCCACAAGCGCAGAGGGACCCCTCTCACCTTCCCCCCAACTCCCCCTTCCCTTCCCCAAAAATTAGTCTTGCTCCTAGCCAAGGCCAAACTCTTCTAGTACCAGTACTTGGACCAAGACCAGAAGAAACTGTAAAACACAGGAGCCGTGGAGCGGCCCGGCTCAGGGGGCCTAGCACCTCTGCCCACTTGCCCAGGTTCCTGCTCACAGGCCACGAGACCGACTGGTGAGAGGCAGTCAGCGTGGACAGTGGACGGAGGCCACACCCCTCGGGCTGGCCGGTGAGTAGGTCTGCTGCGGAGCTGCGCCATGGTCAGGGGGGGCGGCTCAGCCCAGAGGGTGCCCGGGCCCCTGCCACCTGGGTGGAGAAAAGGGGTGGGGTCCCCCTCACGTGAGCTGCGTGAGGCCCTCCCCCCATCCGCTCTCCAGGAACTCCACGGCCAGCGCAAAGTCAAACTCGTGCAGCGGCGGCCCGTCCACGGCGATCTTCACCACGTGGCCGCTGCGGCCCTCCGCGCCCCCGGCCGGCCCCCACCAGCGCAGCTCCCGGCTGCGGCCGACCTTGTCCAGGAGGCCGGCGCCGACGGGCAGCGCCAGGGCGAGCGCGGCGAGGGCGGCGAAGTCGGGGAAGAGCTCGTGCAGCTCCGAGTGCGCGCAGGCCAGCTTGGCGCAGAGCGCGCGCGGCCCCAGCAAGCCCAGGCTGCACACGACGCGCTTGAAGAGCGCGAAGTCGCCGAGCGCGCGCTGGCGCACCACGGCCGGCGCGAAGGCGCGCAGCAGCAGGCGCAGCGCCTCCTCGCCGTGCGCGCCCAGCTCCTCCGCCGTCTCCGGGTAGCGGCGGGGGTCGAAGATGGTTGCAAAGGCGGCCACGGCATCCAGCGAGGGCCCGGGGTAAGAGTCCCGCAGTCCTGTCCGCATGGAGTCCAGGAGGGCCCACCGCAGCCGCTCCAAGTCCTGGACGGCCGCCTCGGAGTAGCCGGCCAGCTCCACGCCGCGGTAGGTGCAGCGACTGTCCGCCCCATCTTCGTCGTCCTCATGGGGACCTGAGGTCGCCACTTCCTGGAGGAACCCCTGGAGGCGGGCCCCGCCGGAGCTGCGCTGCGCTTGGAGCGCGGCAGTGGCTGCCATCACCAGCGGCTGCAGCAGAGCCAAGTCCGGCTCCTCGGGCTGCAAGACCAGCGCCAGCTTCTGCACGGAGGGCAGCGCGTCCAGCAGCAGGTGGGTGAAGGCCACGAAGGTGAACTGGCGCAGGGCGAGAGCCAGTGGCCCAGCAGTGGGGGAGACCGAGGCTGTGGCCTCCAGGGTGGGCACCAGGTGAGGCCAAGCCTCTGCCACTGCTTCCACGGCCGGCAGCACCAAGGCCCAGGGCACTGGCCGCGGCCCCGCCAAGTCTATCGCTGCGAGGTCTAGTGCTGCCCGGAGCTCGGGCACCATGTGGGCGCTAGGCCCACTGTACAAGCGGAACAGGGCGTCCAGGATGCTTTCGTATTCGCCGAGGTATGCAGGGGGCTTGGGGTCTGTCCGGCCTGGGAGGCAATGTAGCTCAGTGAGCAGCGGGCAGGCGGCCTGGAGCTGCAGGCCCATCGTCTCCAGGCGGTCACTGGGGAGGTTGGAGCTGAGCCAGGCCAGGTTGGGTGCTGGTACGCCGAAGGCCTGCAGGATGTCCAGGAGCTGGCCGGCGGTGGCCTCACCCTCTTGCAGCTCCACACTGCCCAGAAAGGTGGTGGCAGGCTGGCCATCACAGGGGGACACCGAAGTGGCAAACAGGGCCAGGCTGGAGGACTCCGACCAGTCTCTGGTCTCGTCCAGCACCAGCCCCACATAAGGGGATGCCTTCAGGCGCTGACAGTCCTCTGTGTGCAAGACACTGGCAAGGGCCACCTGGGGCAGCCGAGGAGAGAGAGGGAGAGAGGGCAGAGTTAGGCTTACCAGAGAGTGGAAGGCAGGTGGGGGAGGAGGGGGAGGGGAGGGCTCAAGGAAGGAGCCCAAGCCTAACGTTGCTACTTACTGCTGTGTGATCTTGGACAAGTCATGTCACCTTTCTGAGCCTTGGTCTCCTGAGCTCTGAAATCAGGCCAATACCTGCCCCAGTCTCCTCGCAGGCTTGTTGTGCGGCTTGGGGAGCTTATCCATGTAAAAGTGCGTTAAGAACCCTAACAGGCTCCCAGAAGACTAGCTTTCCATTGTGTCTCTTAACGCCACTGCAGAGACTGCATGGTCGACCCTATTCTTGGGATTCAGCTCTGGTTTGCACATTCATTCCCACCTCCTGACTAGCTAGGTCGGTCCCGGCTGTGTGCTCCTCTGTGGGATCCGACCTGGCCCCTGGTCTCACAGAGCTGGTACCAAGGACAGAAGGTACAACTTGCATGCCCCCAGGGGGCCATCTGGGTGACACCGAGCAGGAGGGAGAAACCACAGGACGTGCAGCAGGCCCCGGTCATCTCAACACGGTGGCCTCCCTTTTCGGTGGCCGGGCGCCCTTGCATTGATTGCAACTCACAGTGACCCTAAGTGACTGAGTCGAACTGCCTCCCATGGTTTTCTGGTATGAATCTTTACGGTGGCAGGCCACCGGATCTCCCTCCCACACACTTGGTGGGTCGGAGCCACCAACCTGGCTGTTAGCAGAGCGCCTAACTGCTGCACCACCAGGGTGCCATACAGTTTTGTGATCAGAGTCACAAATCTAGATTTTTTTTGGGAGACACAATCTCCTGATTTTTCCAGTTGGAAGCTAATTTCCGTTGTTAAGCTACAAGAATCACTACGTGTGGTGGGTTCTGGGAGTGGGCCATCCCTGGTCCTGGGTCCTGGGTTTCTAACCCTCTGGCCCAGGCTACGAAGGGGGTGGCCCCATGCCCAGCCCCAGGACTAACTGGGCCCAGACCTGGCAGCTAGCAGGCCCTTGGAAGGTGCTGCTGGGTGAGAGTATGAATGAAGTGCCCTGGCCCGTGGTGGGCAGCAGGCAGGGCCTGGCCGACAGGGGGCCATGCCCAGCCAGCTTGGTGAGCTCCCTCCCTGTGTCTTTGGTTGCCACCCACCTGTATGTCCCTCACTCTCCTGGGGCTGTAGTAATCGCTGTGCTCGGTGCCCAGCAGCGCCTGGCACAGGTTGAACCTCTGCAGCTCCAGCAGGGCAGAACAACGGTCATCGGGCACATCCTCCTTGGCCATGCAGTACACGGTGGTCAACACGGCCATCTTGGAGGGGTCGACTTCCGCCTTGACGCCCCGAGAGGTGGGGGTGGACGCCAGGCCTGGGTAGGTGCCTCCTCCCTCAGCCTGGCTCTCGAAAGGCGGCTGGCCCTGGTTGACTGCCAGTGCCTGGCGATGGGCTCCCGAGGTCACGTGGCGCAGCAGGGCGTGCCGCTGGAAGTTGTCGGTGCCCACGGTGAAGGCGTTCTCAGCTTTCCCATGCTTGTTCCGCACCAGGGCCTGGCGGCACTCGAGGCAGAACATCAGCTTCCGCTCGTAGTCAAAGTCCAGCCAGGTGAACTCCTCTTTCCAGTGCTCGTTGAAGTAGCGCTTGCACTTCTTGTTGGAGTTCGACGCTTCTCCAGCGGGCTTCTTCCCAGGGGGCACCATTCCTGCTCGCTGGGCAGGGTGCCTCCCACCCCCACCCAGATTCTCTCGCCCCCCAGCCTCCCCCACACAGAGCGGCACCTTCCTTGGTCAGGGGACTGGGGGAGGCAGGAGGAGGGGCGGCCCACCAGGCTAACAGGGACCATCCATCTAACTTATTCAGGAAAGCTTAGTCCTGCTCCACCGGTGGGGGGCTGGAGACGAAAGAGACAAGGAGAGGCGTTAGGGGGTCCACCATGGTGGGGTGACAGGGTTCACACTGCCTACAGAGCCTTCCCCAGCTGACTGGACCTCATGAAGGGGGGCGCCTGTGGGGAGTAGGCGTTATCTCAAACTCTATGGAGACCTGGGGCCCCACCCTGGGCCCTCTCCCACCCACCCCCGGGGCCTTCTCCCAGCCAGGACCTTGGCTTTGATTGGGATGCAGCTCAGAACTTGGAAACAAACGTCAGAGCTGGCGGAGCCAGGCAGCATCAATGGAGCCCCATCTTACAAGGGAGATGATGGGTGACTGAAGCAAGGCTGAGAGTCAGACCTCCTGCCTCTACAGGGCTGCCTGATCCTCCCCCACCCACTATCATATATTCCATCAGAAAGAAGGTCTCACAAGACCCAACGGCTTCCTGAGTCTTGGGACAAGAACAGGAACCGATGTTCTCGGGAGCGACCCTCCGTGGACATGCGTGCACACTTATACACACACACACACACACACACACACACACACACACACACTTCACATCTTAGTGTGATTCTGGGAGGGTTGACCCCGAACTGAGGGCTGCTTGGGCTGATGGCAGCTTGCTGGTCAATCTTCACTTCCTGCCACCACCTTCCCCGCCCCCACCCCCTGGGCCACTCAGGAGAGGATGGACAGCTAGGTCAGCCATTGGCTCAAAGCTGCCACCCCCACCTCCTAATCCTTCCTCAGAGCTCCCCTCTGCGGCCCTAATGCAGGGACCACAGTGGTAACTGCCATTTATCGGCAGAGTGGAGTCAGAACCGGAGCCAAGTCCTCGACAGTGACTCCATGAGGGGAGAGGGGAGAGGGGGCAGGTCCCTCCTGTAAGCGCTCTGGGAGGGCGGCCCTCTCCCCATTTTGGACAGGGGAAACCCAAGGCTCAAGGGGTTGGGGCAGAGAGAGAATCCAAGCCTGCCGACCCTGAGGGCTACCCTGAGACCCTATGCTGATGGGCCTCCCATTCCCCAAACCTGCCCCCACTCAGTAGCCAGTCCAGCTGTGTCCCGCCCTTGCTGCACCTCTCCCGTGGTGCCCACCAAAGTCTACCTACTGTCCCAGGAGTCAACAAGACTCTCTCTGGCCTCTACGTTCCCCAGAGCCATCCCTGCGCCTCCCCCTTGCTTGCTCAGTCAACTCCAAAGTCTTTGTGGCTGGGCGCACCTTGCTCCCACCTCCATCCCGGGTTCCTGCCATTCCTGGCTCACTCCCTGGTCTCCCAGTCCCTGTCTCCCACAACTCCCTGTGCAGGGCTCCTAGTAGCCCAACTGGGTGAGTGCCCGGAATCTCTGCCCATCTCTTCAAGAGCCTCTGGGAAGACAGGGGAGGGAATCTGCCTGCAAGGGTCGGAGCTGAAAGCCCCGGGGTACAGTCCTACCCCACGCTCACGGGCGGGGTGGCGTGAGTTGGGATCGACGCCACTGCAGCACATCGCGCTGCGTTTGTTTCAGTGCCCATGGTGTGTTGTCATGTTGTGTCGTGTCGTGCTGGGGACATAGGTGTCTGTGCAGGTCGGCTGGTTGAAAGAATAAAAGGATGTGTGCTCATGGGCTTGCGTGAAAAACTTTCTGTTCCTGAGACTGTTAAATCCTTGGGGAAGCAATGACTGTCAGCTACCTGTGCATGGTGTGTGTGTGTGTGTCGCGGGTGGGAAGCAAGTTAAGGAGAGCAGGTCCTTGGGCAGCCTCTTCCCTGTAAGGAAAAGGGCTCTGTTTGGCCAGATGGTGGAGAAACCTGTTGCACCTGTTCCCGGGACTCTAAGTGGCACTGGGTACTGCCAGCCACATCCTCCTCTTCTTTTTTAAGACCCTGCATCCACTGCCTGGCCTTCTCCCTCTCAGCCACACCTGGGCCTCCAATGCCAACTCCTCTTCCTCACCTTCTTCCCACCCTGAAACTGTCCAAGAGTTTCAGAACCGTCTGTGCTGGCCACTCTTTCCTACATCGCGCCAGCCTGGACCAAGCTCCCGGGTACCATCCAGCGGCCTTCCTGGTTAGCTCAGCAGCTAACCAAAAGGCTGGAAGTTCAAGTCCACCCTGAGGTACCTCAGAAGAAAGGCCCGGTGCTCTGCTTCCCCAAAATCAGCCACTGAAAACCTTACGGAACAGTTCTGGCCCCCACCCCCCATCAGTTCAATTGTGACCAAGGGTGGCCAGGAGGCTCCCTCATCACTGGCCTCTCCACACCCTGGCCAGCTACCAGCTAGGTGGGAGCGGTGTAACTTGAGCGGCCTCTGGGACAATTGTGGGCTGGTCTGTGTCTCCTATGCCCACCCAAGCCCATCAACCTCAAATAGAATTTATGTGGCTCCAGGACCCTGTTTCCCCACCTCCTCCCCATTCTCCTTTGGGTCCCTCCAGTCGAGGACCCCACTCGGAAAAGTCCATCTCCAGACTCTAGTAGGGCTGGGGTACCCTCCTTTGGGCAACCGAGGTGAGGTGGGGGCTCCCCTGCTCCCCCACGCTGGTCCTCCTGGCACTGGGACGGGCGGGCTGGGGAACTTCCTCTGGGGGGCGCGTGGTGGAGGAGCCCTGGGATAGGTCCGGCAGAGTCTTGGGGGGCCTTTGCCCTGCCACCCTCTGCCCGCACATTGGGACCCCCACTCCCGTCTCCCAACCCCTGCCCAGCAGCTCCGGAAGGGGACGCCCTGCCCGGGCTCCCAGTCCCACCGGCTCCCCCTCGTCCCGCACACACTCACAGAAACACGGCAGACACCATCTTGGGTGGTGGACGCTCTGGCCGCAGTCTCCTTGGGCTCTGCGCTGAGCGACAGCAGCCACTAGTGGCAACTGGGGTGAAGAGGCGCCAGCCGCCAGCCAGCCAGGGCTGGGGTCCCGGGCAGGGCGGGGCCAGCAGCGCCCCCCTGCTTGGTACTAGCCGCTAGGCAGCCTCCTCCCTCTGCAGGCAACAGGCTAGTGCATAGCACTGCAGTTCCCCCAGAGCTGGAGGGACAGAAAATCCCACCTTTCTCCCTCAGCCCAAGAGGGGCTCCCATAGAGGTAGAGCACTGGAAGGTGACCAGAGTTCCCTACAAAGTGAGTTGAGATCAGGGAGGGGCCCTCGGGTGGGGGTCGAGGTGGGAAAGGGCGTTTCAGCAGTGGGGCAGAGCTTCCTGGGAAAGGGGGGTGGGTACCCAGCAAAGGCGCACACAAGGGACTACCCTGCTCCAGGCTCCTGGCTGCACACATGTGTGACGGAAGATGCCTGGGCCACCTTCCGCCGCCTCCTCCTCCTCGGGCAGCACCACGCAGCCCATCCTGCCCCAACTCTGCACCCCAAAAGGGGCCAGGCGGGTGGGGGTGGAGAGCGCTCCTCTCTGATGCTGTAGACCAGCCAAGTGTCTCCAGCACTCCTCCTCCACACGGGCCAGTGCCCCCACCCAGTGCCCAGTGAGGCTGGGCAAACAAATGAGCAAACTGGACACAGCAAAGAGGCTGCTGGGTACAGCCGAGCCGGAGCCGGAGGCAGAGCACGGGGCGTCCCTCTGCTGATGTCTGTCTGTCTGCTGAGCTTACTTCACCTTGACTCTGCCCAGGGCAGGGGATGCGGCCAGAGGGGCGGCCAGATGACAGTAGGGAGGACATCGTCCTGCTGATCAGCCATCACTGGAAAAGGCCCTACCTAGCGCTCGCACACATGGACACACACACACACACTCACTCACTCACTCACTCACTCACTCACTCACTCACTCACTCACTCACTCACTCCCCAGTCAGGCCATCTGACTTGTGGGCCCACAGAGAGGGACCCTGGTCAAGACCAATATCCATGCAGGAGGGGAGGCGGGTCCAAGAAGAAGCACAGTGACAGCGCGCGGCGCCTCCAGGCGCACACAGAGAGCAGGGCTCAGGGACACTCGGACCCTGTGGGGACGTGCGGTGCCCACACGCAGGGAGCTGCGTGTCCACAGGGTCAGGTGAAGACAGTGCCCGGAGCTAGGCTGTGCACACACTCGGTACAAAAGTCAATGCACCTGAGGGCAGACAGCTCCTGGAGACAAACAAGGAGCGCGTCTGTCAGTCTGGTGCTCATGCGTGTGCACAAATCACAACCATAGGGGCGGGGGTGGCGTCCCAGAGGCACACAGACACCAACATCGAGCCACCCTATAGGATAGGGTAGCACTACCCCTGTGGGCTTCCAAGACTGACTGTGGACCGGAGGAGAAGGCCCATCTTTCTCCTACAGCACAGCTGGTGATTTCGAACTGTGGACCTTGCAGATGGCAGCCCAATTCGTAACCACTATGACACACACACACTCACACACACGTCCAATAATAGAAAGTTGCCATTTCAGATAAAACCCCAAACGACGCAAATAAACATGGAATCCGGGACGGCAGAAGATGGAGCTAAAGAGGAGGAGAGGGAGGGTGGGGCTGAGACCACCTTGTCCCATCAGTGCCCCATCCAGCACGCCAAACTCAGGTCCTTGCCACCACCACCCGTCCCCCCAACAATTCCCCCAAAGAGCCCTTGAAGCGGGTGGTGGCTGCCTGCCTGCTGGTGGGGAGGGCCCTGAGGAAGCCAAGGGAACCCTTCAATGCCAGCCCAGTGCCTGGGCCTCTGGTAGCAGCCCTTGACTGCTTTGTTCTTTCTCTGCTGCCCTAGCAAGTCCTTCAACTCCTGGGCTGGGGGGGTGGGGACGCACCCCTCGGGCAGAGGCTCCAAGGAGGGGGTTCAAGGTGCAGTGTGGGAGCCGGCACCATGGAGGCATCTGCCCAGGTATGTGGCACTCCTGAACTCCACAGCGTGGACCTCCAGGTCCCAGCCATTTCCGCCCCATTTTTTTTCTCAGCCCTGAGCGGGGAGGGGAGGGGGAGCGCTGTGCTCCTCTGGTCAGCCCTGGACCTGGGAAAAGGTACCAAGATGGACTGGCTACAGGAGTCTCCCCACAGACGGCTTTTCAGGGTCAACAATAGCAGGACAAGGACAGGAGAGGAGGCCACTCCTGTTGGTTCCCTTGCCTCTGCCCCCCACCCCCGCCCCTCCCTGCCCAAGGCACTCACACTCACCCAAGAGCATTCTCTGCCCTCAGAAGCGCCACCTGAACCACCCGGAGGAGTGCTGGGGAGCAAATGAAACCCAGGCAGAGTGACAGGGAATCAGGAGCAGGAGGGGAGGGGCCTGGGCCCTGGCTCTCTTGCAGGAAGGAGGTGTCTGCTCCCTGGCCCCATCCCTTTCCCAGCCAGGGCAGTAAGGAGGTGAGTGGAGGAAGTGTAGAGATTAGGGGGTGAAGCACAACCAGGAGGTGACCCCCATCCAGACTGGGCCCCTTCCTAGGACACCTTAGACTGAAGGGAAGGGTTGACCTTGCCCACAGAGACCCCCCCCCAGGAGCTGCTAAAAGGCCCCTTTCTGCCTCCCTGTCCAGCCTACCCATCCTCTGGCCGCCACACCTGGGATTGACCTAATTTTGCTGAAAGGGCACAGAGACTGGCACTCTTCAACAGAGAGCAGGGGCTATGAGGGTGGGAGGGGTGCTCGGGTGTCCTGCCCCACACATTCCAATACCTGGACCCTTGGACTTGTTACCTGGGACAATGCCTGCCTGCCGGGGGCAGAGGGCATGCATCTGACCAGCCCCCTTTGTCCCCTTTCTGTCCTTTCCCCTCTATTGTTTTCTTCCTCCCCTCACTCCTCATCCTCTTCTGGAAAACTGGCTGGTCTTCCACTCACCTGAGCACCACCTGGTGACTGGGGGGGCGGGGCATGGGGGAGACAACCAACCCACTTCGGAATCCGGTCTTGGTCTTGCATTCCAAGCTAGGTCCCAGTCTAAGCCCCCACCCCTCAGCATTCTGTCTCCACCAGTCAATAACCTGTCATCTGGGAGCAGCCAATGCCCACCCCACCCCCACCCCAAAGAAGGTCTCTGGGAGGGGTTGGCAGCAGGGGCTCCTGAAAACAGGTTTGTTCCTTGGGAAGGGACTCTGGGGGGAAGGAGGTGCTGCGTGTGGGGAGGAAGGAAACTGAAACCCAAAGCTAATTAACCCACCCAGAGACACAGATGGAATCTTTGTCTAGTGCGGGCCAGGGATTTGAGTTAAGCCCCCTAATTCTCCACCCAGACAGGCCAGGCCTTGCCTGGTGGTCCCTGAGGCAGGGGGTGGTGTGTGCTGGCGGTCAGGTTCACGCTGGGAGGGGGACGCGATGGGTGTCCAGGCACAGTGAGGACGCTTTACTTGCCTGCCACTTCAGCACAGCAGCCTGAGGCACAGGTTGAAAGGTCAAGAAGGACTTCCAGTGGCCCTGGGGGCTGGGGGGCAGGGCATCCACAGACCTCAGGATAAGGGGGACCCTGAAAAGGAACCAGCACCCCAGGGGGCACTAAAGAGATGGGGGACTGGCTGGAGGGCTTCCAGGGCCTCCTGATAGGACTGAAATGAGTCCGTCCGCATGTGCGTGGGTGCGTGCGTGGTGTGTGCGTGGTGCGTGCCTACAGCCAGCTAGTGGCTCAGGCCTGACTGGAGCTCAGGGTCAGAGGCTTCGATCTCCTGGTCCCAGTGGCTTCAGGAACCAAAGATTTGGAAAGGAGAGGGAAGACCAAGGAAGGTGTGGGTAGGGGGCACAGCCTGAGCCTGCTCCCCTTA